CACACACACACACACACTATGAGCAGTGCAAACAATGTGCAAACAGTTGTTTTGGCAAGTACATATTTTTTGATGCGACACGTTATTAGTGATACATTTTACATATGTTTTTGTGAAGTTGACACACGAGTGAACAAATGGGGAAGGTTGTTGGGTCACTGTGCTCTGCCTGTTACATAATAACTGATGGTGAACCAGTAAAGTAGTTTCTCATTGCTGCTGAGACGCGGTCTTCATTTTCACGTCTTATAAAGAACACTGGAACCTGTAAAGCAAACTTTTTGTCTTGTCACCCCTTAAAATGAAGCAATATTGTGTTGTGACCCAACATTACAGGTTCGGCCTTTACCGTGGCTGTGACTTATGAGCAGGTCAACCAAAGAGTGATTTTTCTTTCCCATCTCAGATTAAATGTTGCTGAAACTTTTAGAAATAACGCATCTCAGTGTTTTGTTTTCACTATCACAAAAAGTGTATAGTGTGTAACTCTTCGATGTCCTGTCCTTCGCTGTGCAGTAAGCTCGGCCCATTCATCGCCAAACGACGCACACCAAAGATCCAGGAGCAGTACAGTAAGATCGGAGGGGGCTCGCCAATCAAACACTGGACCTCCATGCAGGGGGAGGGCATGGTGAAGCTGCTGGATGAGATGAGTCCTGAGACAGGTGAGACAATCCCAGAGAGCATCTGCTCCAGGGTCACTGAAAGCATTCAGTTTAAATGGAGAGTTTGAGTGTCTTGTAGGCTTCAGAAAGTCCATTTCTAGACATCTGGGAAGACATAGCATCATGTTCACAGTGCTTTCAACAGTGCTGCTGTGTTTCCTACTGGTAAACTAGAATGTGTGTGTGAAGTGTAGATAGTGACACAGTGAAGGAGTGTCTCTTCACACCCCTGCACACACCTCACTGATAACAGGCAACAGTCTTAAAACTGATCCTATCGACTGGTATAAAAAGCAGATTCAGAGGTAGCAGTTTATCACTTTAATAACTTTAATGTTTGACAATAATCTCCACACCACTTCCCTTTATCTTCCATATTAATTAGATTATACAGACATTTAACAAATATTTCAATTAACAGTTGAGCAAGCAAAGCAAACTTCTTGTACTTTTATCACACTTGGATATTGAAAATAAACAATAAAAGCAACGTATGTATATTCACAACTTAAGCTAGCGTGCTAAAGTTATCTTGCACATTGCAAATATAACTGTCACACTGCTAACTTGCACATTCCCGTACAGCTCTTCATTCATTTAGTCACATTGTACACACTGTCTGTCTTTTTATATCTGTACATATTGTCTTTTTATTGTCTCTACTTTAGCTTTATTTATATTTTTCTAGGTTTAATTGTTCTACACCAATTTACCAGGACAAATTCCTTGTATGTGAAACCTACTTGGCAGTAAACCCGATTCTATTAGCTAACAAGCTAGCTGATCCACATGAGTCGTTAGCTAGCTACTTAGCTAGTGTTTTGATACAGAGCAAACCACCCAACTAGCTAGCTAATTCACATCAGATCATCTGATATTTGTTTTTTCAAAGCCAGTTAACTCAGAAAGTGGTACTGTTAATGACTAATGGCTTTATTTCACATGGCTCTGTCTCTCTCTGCAGCTCCTCACAAGTTCTACATCGGTTTCCGTTACGTTAACCCGCTGACGGAGGACGCCATCGAGGAGATGGAGAAAGACGGAGTGGAGAGGGCCGTGGCCTTCACACAGTATCCTCAGTACAGCTGCTCCACCACAGGTGACAGTCTCACACAGCACACACACAGCAAATGAAAGAAAGGAGTACATAAGATAACATTTACAGTAGCAATAATGCTCCTTTCAAGCATTAAGTTCTGTTCAGAAGTAGAAGTGTCCAAAGAGCACATACATTGAATTGGGGGAAAAAAGTCAAAAGATAAAAAAGATGTTTGTAGCCGTTAGTGTTACCACACCCACAGCGCTGTCCACCCTGTTGCCCTCTGATAAATACAGTTTCTAAGTGAGGCCCCTTTAAATATTTGGCCTTTGCAGTGTGCCGTAGTTGCACTGTTGACCTGTAATAATCATATTATATTTCATAAAAATGTAATCTTTCTTCTGACATAGTGGAAGCACAATATTTATCTGTGTGCAGTTTGAAAAACACTGGTCATGAGCTTTATCAGCGGCTTTATGCATGTGGTGGCATGCTGCCGGCTAGTCAAAAAATGCTTGTCCTTAGAGACTTTTTTCCGCAGCTGCTCCGAACTCTTAATTCACCAATCATTTATTATTATATTATTATTTATTGACCCAGATGAATGTTAATCCTTTTATTATTAAGTGGTTTTATTCTTTTTAAACAGATAGAACTCAAAATGTCAGGATTAACAACTCACTTTCGGAATCCAAATGCATCAGTACAGGTGCACCTCAGGGCTGTGTAAGCTCACCGGTCCCGTTCACCCTTTACCCAAACGGCTGCAGTCTCCCGAGCAACCTGTTTTTTAAATTTTCTGACGACACTGCCATTCTCAGCCTGCTTCACCAGAACTCAGACCCGTCATTGTACTTCACGGAGGTTAATAAATTTGTTCAGTGGTGTGACGAGATCTCATCATTAACAGTAAAAAAACTGATAGGTATCTGGGTTTCCCCCTGGATAACCTCTTAAGCTGGAGTGATCATGTAGATTACGTATGTTTACAGCAAAGGCTGTATTTTTTTTACACAGACTGAGGGTGTCATGTTTTTATTTTATCAGGCAGTGATGGAGAGTGTCATCAGGTATGGGATGACGGCGTGGTTCGGCAATCTCTCCACACAG